GATTAAAGGCACAAAAATGTAAATGTTCGGTTTCCACAGACTCTCAAGCTAAGCCATTTTCTCAATATTTTTACCAGGTGACCCCCACTTCCTTCATTCGCAAATATCTCGACTTGTATTAAGATTTTCATCCAAAGCAAGACAAATAAACAAGCTTTATGATGATATCAATAACTCTACATGCCCAAAAATTGACGAGAGCGTGATTACACCGCGTCGTGATACATATACGCGTTGTGACCTAATTGTATATATCGATATTGTTATGACAAAAGGAATTTTAATCAGTTACTCCATAACTATTTACTGTATACCCCAGCAAATCAGACAAAAGTTACATCGACCAGATTTTAGTTAATTTGAAACACACAGAAAGTTAATTTTTTTGCCTCTCTTTTAAAATTTCAAGTTTGGCTAATACGTTTTTTTTCTGTCATATATCGGCAGTATACATCACTATAAAAATTGTAATTAAATAACGTTTCTACCGTATTTATGGACAATTCTATAAATGTCCGTTTTTTAAAAATAATTGGGACTCCACTGAAAGGACGGGCATAGTCACAGATATCTACTTTTGAGAAAAATGAATTTTAAAGTTTGAAAGTAACAGTCAAGAAACCTATGCACACTGCCGTTTTTCTGTTTGGTTTTCTTATTAGTCACCCATTAAGCATCTTCCTGCCAAATTTGAGCATTGTGTAATAATACAGAGGTGAATTAATACATCATACTTTTTAAAGGCACCCCTATTCTGGAGTCTGCCCCGTTTTTTCCCCTTGAACGAGGCTGTTCGCGTTTTGGGGGTGGGGGTGGGGGTGGGAGGGAGCACACCACACCAGAGCACTCGCCAACCACCCACTACATGTTGATTGTTACAGTGTTCTTTCCTTTGTCTGAGGGTGTATCCCCTCCGCCACTGTAGCTCAAAAATTGTCTTTCAGTTTTCACCCAACATCACCTTTCACCTCTTCTCCCTCAGCGCCCTTTGTTTTCCCCAATCTATTTTCGTCCCTCTCGGCGCCTCTTGCAGATCCGGTAGTTTTGAGACCTTTATCGGTATGGCGGTACAAACAAGTTCATTATCGGTGGCTACCGGGGAAAAAAAAATCGGTAGATTTAAGCACGGGGGCTCTCGTGGCCTAGAGGTTAAGGTGTTCGCCTCTCATTCAGAAGTCCCGGATTCGAATCCGGGTAGCAACCGAAAAATATTCTTCTGTGAAATTGTCTTCTTTTTTTTTCTCACCTCCTTTACTGCTCTCTAGCAATGTTCTGCCGTCTACTAACGTCTCCACTTTCTACCCCCCCCCCCCAACCTCCTTAGCCCCCTCCTCTGGGCTCCTGACTTTTTCTGCAGCCTTTTTACTGCTTCTCCTTGGCTCCTTCTTACTGCTATCTTTCAGCCACACTCCTGATCTTCTGGTAGGAAAGATCTACACCTAGCTTTCTCGGACAAGGGCAAAAAATCTCGGAGGTCCTGTGTGCACGTTGCGCACGTTAAAGATCCCTTGGTGGTCTAAAATCGATAAGAGTAGGCTTCGGCCACACCCGGGCAAAATTTAAAATTTCCTACCAGCTGAAAATGTTAGGTGTGTCCCGCGCGCTCATATGACCTTATGCAGTTGCGAGCGCCGTAAAACACCCCCCCCCCCCCAAAAAAAAAAAAAAAAAGATTTAAGCAGCTCCGTTGGCGGTTGCTCTGGTGTGGTTTGTTGCTTCTTTCCTATCAAACTTACTTCTAACGTCCTTATCTCTCCTTTTTGGTATTTATTACTCTCCTGTAACACCTCTAATTTTCAGCACTTATACGACCTAATTGGGTTGCGTCGGTAGCCTAGTGGATAGGCTACTGGATTTGTAATCGTGAGATTGCGGGTTCAGGGTTTCAAATCTCAGATCGGTCCAACGTTGTGTCCCTGGGAAAGGCACTTTGCATGGATTTCCCACTGTGCTAATTTTTTTCGGAGATGGGTGTTGAACTCGGAGGTCCCATCTCTTAAATAAGCTAATAGTGTTGATAGGGTCATGGAACCCATTCCATTTTTGACCTAATTGTGTTGCAAGTGCCATAAAATACTTTCTGAAATAAAACAAACTCCTACAATCTCTGCTTTGTTGTAAAGTCTTCTCTGCTAAGAAATCTCATTATCACGTGAAAGAGGGAGAAAAGGTGAAGTAGATAGAAAGAGATACGTTGAAATAAATACACAATCAAGGGAAATGCTTGGTCAAAGATATCACTTTACTTCTAAGAACTTGAAGAGCATGTATAGTAAAGGCATTACATGAATAATAATTTCAGGGAACATTAATTTATAACGAAAATAAAATAATTATTAGAATAACAAAGTGATGAAAAAGCTCTGTTTTAGCTGACAGAGTTTATTAATGACTTTAACGAGTTGGTTAAGAACCATCAGGCACCTCTCTTCTATTGAAGAGCATGTACCTAAACATACATATCTAGCAAGTGCATTTACATGTAGACTTTAAAGGAACATTCAAGATCATACATATCTGAAAGTAAAATCATTATTAGAATAAATAGCAGAGCAATTAAAGAGCTTTGGCTGAAGAGTGGAAATGACCATGACATAACACTCGCAGTTCCTAAAAGAACATACAATTTAACCTGCTCTTCTAATGGTCACGGTACAAACGACCGTTTCCAATTGTCCCCCTTGCGTTTTTTTCAAACACTATAAAGACACTATGTAAGAAAGCTACCTGTCGCAGTTGGCCATTTTTCTTCTCAACAATGGGTGGCTGTGTTAGACAATTAGAACTGAACTTTGTATATACTGACAACATGAGCATTATACACTTTTATATCTACCACTATGGCAACAACACAATCAGTATCTGTAAATCAAAGCAGATTGAGCCCCCCCCCCCCCCCCCACCAGGGCACTGCTACTGACTGAAGTTGTCTTTAGGCTATTCCCAAAGGGAGGGATGATAACATGTTCTTATGCACAGTAAAATTGTAAATGGGCTGATTTATCAATGTCATGCTCATACTGTGCCGGAACAACCTAGGGGGAACTGCTGCTTTTTCTTTCCTTATCCATTTTTCCTCTACTTCTTTTGTATGTTTGTCACTCTCTTGTGAACTGCTATTTCTGGGGTGCCTTGAAAGTCGAAGCAGACTTTGTGCCCTTTAGGCTACAGAGGTGAGCAGAGTAAACCTGATTTCCCATTTGGACTTCTCTGCTGACATCCACCCCTTGGCACTCATATGAACTGAGGCAGTTGCGAGCTCTGTAAAACCGTACTAAAACAAAACAAACAAGCAGACTGAGATCTTTGAAAGTAGATCAAACAAAGTTGAGGAAAAAAGTAACTCAATGTCAGAAAATGTAGACTCAACATTCAGGTGTTTGGAGGGCACCACGGAGAGGGTGTTTATTTCTCCTCTGTTGTTTCTGTCAGTCTTACTTTTTCTCAGCACTAAATGACCATTATTGAGTTAACATGCTTCTCTTTATTTAAACAAACAAAAAGCATCTTTTTGAGGCAACAAACAATACACAGACGCTCAACTGATATAACGGAAAATCAGAAAAAATATTGCTCATTCAAAACAATGACAAATTTTATCTTTTTTGTCAATAATTTGGCCTACATATATATTAATTTTCATGTCTAAAAGTTATCAAAAAGTTTTTTCATATGAACAAACATTATCTTTTTTTTTCCAGTTATTTTTTATAGATCTACTTTGATTTATGTAAAGTACCTGGAGCTGTCTGCATATGAGAATAGGTACTATTAAAATTATCTTTATCATCATTATTACATTTGCGGAAATGTTTTAGCAGAAAATATTAAATAGATCTACATGATATACAAAATACGTCACTCTTGAATGATAAGTGATCTCGGCTACTGCTGCTTTTGTGCTTAAATAATATGTAAAGAGATGTCCCTATCATCAGTGCTGAATATACACATTTTCTTCTCCTTAATACCAGTTGTTCTTTTCAGAACCCTTTCAGCTCATACTACTGGCTTCTATAGGCTCCTCGCTGTTGCACGCAGGAGGCCCCGAGTTCGATTCCGACTGGTGAGTACATTTTTATTGAGTATCTTTGTCGTTTTGCTAGGATTTTGTATCCCTCTCAGCCCCAGTTGGCCCTGACAGACACCCTGAAAATAAAAACCCAATGTGATATAGATCAATCTTAAAAAGGCGAGTGACCCATAAAACAATCTTTAACAATAATCAACATTTTCTGATGAAATGTTTTATGGCAAGAAAAGGTCATTGGTCATGTACTGATTGATAAAAAACAAGGATAAAAAATACCTGATTGGAAAACAGAGTCAAGGTGAATAAGGTGCGGAGAGAAGAAAAAAAAGTTGAGAGTTTTCCGAAGTTTCCAAGAGGGACATGGGGAAACTGACCTGAGACTTGAGATAACAGGGTTAGAGATGATGACGAGTGAGAAGGGAAAGATGAAGAGTGAGATAGGGTTTGATGAGGGTGTGATGGAAATGACAAGAACATGACAAAGACAAACATACTTATATATTATATAAATCAAGTCAGTGTCATTCCACAATCACCCAACTCAGTTTCTGGGAATTTCCAGATACAGCTGTTATTCCAATAAAGACATCAGACGATAACAATCATAATAATGATAATATAGCTTGATTTTGTTTCCCCGTTTCCTTCTTAGATTTTACCTGAAAAATAACAAGTGCCCAAATCATGGTTCTGACTTAAGTGCTATTTTAATTTACATGGGAGTTGTGGGCAACAGGGTAAGTTAAAAAGAAAGCCTACTGCATGACCATAACTGTTTTTTTCCCAATGTGCCTTGTTTAGTCATACATTAGAAAAGGCGTTTGTGCTGTAAAAAAACCTCATTACTCATCAAATCAAAGGGCATTTAGAAGAACTTCACTCTTTGATACTGGAACACCACTTAAGAGCCATTTTTGGGGGTGCAGATCTACACCTAATTCTGTGTTACATTTACTGCCTATTTTCACCCATATTGTGATTATTCAATCTATTTACAAATAGTTTGAGTGCTCACACGAACAAATCCATCAATACTAGACTGAATTAAAGGCCGTTTTAAGATAATATCAGTGATATGATTGCCTACAATATGAAACTAAATTAACAGTAATTAACGGCTCTCATACTGCGCATGCACATACCTTGCATCGCCCTACTTTGACTTTTTAAATAAACTAGGCTACCCGTTCAACGTAGATGAATCGTCTCACACTGTTCACAATTATCATATCATTATATGGTGGCAGCGGTAAAAATAAACAAGCAGCAGATCCAGTCCCCGTGATGTGACTCTAGCTTGAAGTAGAAGCCTACAATCAGACTTTTGGGACCGAATAAACCGTTGTTTGTAAGTTCATAGCCACATCCGCTCGAGCAAGTAGTTAGATCTAATCAAAATCGGTCAATAACAGTCAATATGCCCTTACAGCAGATTTCCGAGATGATGTGGGAAAGCAAAATCGAGGCAGATTCCTTCAAAATGTTAAAACAAAGACTCAAACTCTATTTTGAAACAAAGAAGGTGCATAAAGACGACCAAGTCGTCCACATACTCCTTCAAATTGGTAAGAAAGGCCTTTGACTCCTTCAAATTGGTAAGAAAGGCCTTTGGATGTTTAACGCCATGACACTCACAGACGCTGAAAAGAAAGATCCAGATATTGTATTCCAAAAAGTGGGTGAACAAATCGAGCCGGTTGAACGCTTTCGTATGAGTAGACTCAAACTCATGAGCATGAGGCAGGTCAAATCAGAGTCACTAGATGACTTTGTGACAAGGGCGCAGCTCCAGGCACAAAGGTGTGCATTTGACAATGTGGCAGAACTGGAAAAGAGACTGATCGAGTTAATCATTTTAAGAACACCCACCGGAGACTTTCAAAGGAAACTTCTTGAACAGCAAAAGGGTGTCAAGTTGGCTGACCTGATAAAGATGGGTCGTACATTCGAGGCTACTGCATCACACGTACAGTAGCTACAATGGCAGACTCTGCCAGCACCAGCGCCATCAAATCCAGCACTCGTCCTCCTTGCAGAAACTGCGGAGGGCAGCAAAAACAACGGGAAAGCCCAGCCAATGGTATTACCTGCTGTACCTGCGGCAAAACTAACTCCTTTGCCAAAGTTTGCCGTTCCGGGCGGGACCAGTCTTCACACGGACGCAGGCATCGATGTGGTGGATCAGTCAGCCGAGGTGGAGGACATAAGCGGAAGCCGCTAGAGGCAAAAATCAAGGCGATGCAGGCTGAAATCCACTAAGAGAACTTTGACGACCGAACATTCAGCCCTGTCACCATCTCTTCAGTTTCTTCATTGTCCCACCAACACGACGAAGCATTCGTCAAGCACAAAATACACCTTCCAAACAGAGCTGGGCAACACAATATCATTGTCTAGGTCGACACAGGACCACGGGAGAACACGCTGCCCCTGCACATGTTTAGGGGACATGTTCTCTGAGCAGCTGACAACAGAGGGAACCCCAGCCAAACAGATCTTATAAGAGAAAGGCAGCACAAGGCTGACTGCCTACAACGGCACAGACATTCCCTGCCTTGGCAAGATAGTTTTTCCTTGTCGCTACAGAGGCCAGTGGCAGGAAACGGGATTCTACATCATAGACATGAAGGACCTGCCCTTATTGGACTGCCGTCAAGCGAAAAGTTGAAAGCAGTGACACTGCACTGCAGGCAGCCTTTCAGCGTCACCCCCATCCGCCAAAAACAAGATCATTTGCGTCCAGGACTTGATGAAAGACCATCTAGAACAGTTCGACAGAATCGGTAAGATGCCTAGCCCCGTCTAGCTAGTGGTGGATCCAGACGTCCTGCCACACATCGACGCACCAAGGAAAACTCTGATTGCTCTCAGAGACACGATCAAAGAAGAGCTTGACAGCATGGTGGGAAGTGGTGTGATCAGAAAGGTAACTTGGAGAAGTGATATGATTGCCTACAATACGAAACTAAACTAACAGTAATTAATGGCTCTCATACTAGACATGCGCATACCTTGTATCGCCCTACTTTCACTTCCTAAATAAATTAAGCCACCCGCTCAACGTAGATGAATTGTCTCACATTTCACAATCTATATCATATCATATCATTATAGTACCTTTCGTCACAGGGTGCATAAAATTGTGGAATCCCTTGAGTACTGAAAGAGTGAGGGACACACGATATCTGTGGAAAAACTGTTCAGTGTTTTACAAGCGGAACACTGACTTGTACATAGACACATGTACAAATAAATCAAAATGAATAACATATATATCACCGTAGCTATTACTTTGGAATATTCTCAGTAAACCTTCTGTGATGGAGACCGTTTATAAACAAAAAACTGAAGATTTTACATATTAAAAAAAAACAACCCCTCCTCAAACAAGAAACCATCTTTCTGAAAGTTTTGAGCATCTCTATTCGTTGTAATACTCTCTTCGTTATCAGTCAACATTCAACCGCCCTGTGCACGTACAGAGCAAGTATAAATCATGAACATGTAATACAATCCTGTACAATATACATACGGCATAAACTGCACCTGGTTTAAGCATAATTGTGAAAGTGTAGCTCCACTTTACTTCTTGTTTGGTTCAACTTTCATAATGCAATTCTTAATTAAGCCAGTCAGTCTTTTTTTGTTTTATTTTTTTCTTTAGTCGTGGTTTGTAAGTGTGGATGGTTGAAGGGCGCTGTTGGTAGATTCTTTTTCTTTTCTTTCACTCTCTTGTTTTTGTCTATTTTCCTTGCTTTTTTCCTCTGCACTAAATGACTTTTATAGTGTTGATGTGCCTCTCTTTACTCAAACAAGTGAACATGGTTTTGAATTAATGCCTTTCTTGATACAGAAGACAGTTTAAATTCCAGTTCAGTCCCTTACAAGACCTGCCCTCTGTTGCTACTGCAAAGCAGGTTGGTTGAGTGAGGGTCACCCGGGTAGATTTTACTTCTTTTCTTTCCCTGTGTTGTTTCTTGAACCGTTCATGCGGTTCTCTTTACTCAAACTTATCCCAATGCTACAGAAACCAGAATTTTTATATTAGGTATGAAAATTCCAAGGTACAATAAATGTAATACATAACATGAATATTATGGTAATGGAGAGAACAGAAATCGAGCATGTCAAATCATATAGCATTATATGGCAAGCAAATTCAACATAACATTCAGGCCTTGTAGCACTTAGAGAACCTAAATATCAAGAAAGTTCTCACAGGGAAATTTCTAGTGACAAACTCAGAAGACTGAGCAGTCTTTCTAAACTAGAAAAAAACCCATACAAAATGATTCCCTTTCACCAATGAAAAAGCAAACAAAATTTCCATAGCTTTAACTTTGTCCAGTCATATACCCTGAAGTAAACGAGAATGAATGCAAAACTACCAACCTACAGTGACAAAAAAAAATTAAGTTGCAAAGCTAAAATTATGTGGCTTGATATTATAGGCAATTTGTAAAAAGTTAATCTGAAAACTCTGGAAATGCCAGAAATTTTTCTGTGGATTCAATAGAAATAAAAAACCCAATAACTTTACAATGAGTGCTAAACAGACCATGTATTTTTGGACTAAGCCATGTCAGGATAAAAACAATGTGATCAAAATCAAAGTCATAATTACAACATAATCGATAGAGTCTAAAAGGATAAATGTCAAAGATGGAAAAAAAAACAAATTGTACAATATAATAAAGACAAGGCCACAGCGTGGCTCGTAGCTGAAAGCTTGTCAGCTGAGTTTTCACCGAGCTCGTTTCTGTTGTTGTTGTTGTTGTTGTTGTTGTTATCAGATGTCTGTTCTGAAGTGTCCCGTGGGCCCAGCCCTGCCTCATTAAATTGGGGTCTGGAAGAGCCAGCGCTGTCTGACTGGTCTCTCTCACTGATACCTCGCCCGTCGTGGGTGGTGCCTGTCTCGGAGCGTGCGTCCGGCGAGTCATCCAGGTAAGAGGTGTTGGGACTGCTGCTGCGGACCAGTCTGATGTCCAGTCGGGTGACCCCTGAGTCGGAGACGGAGAAGGGGGAGGACACGTTCTCGTAGCCGGGACTGCTCACCTGTGGGGAGGATTAGAGCTAATTATGTAGGAGGAAGGGTAGTGGTTGTTTTATATAAAATATCTCTCTCTCTCTCTCATATATATATATATATATACATATATTTATTTTTAAAAAAATGTTATATATATATATATATAATATATCTAAACATCTTTAAAAAAATTATATAAATATATAAGTAATAAATATATAATATATTTTTATATGTGTCATGACGCGGTGGAATCAGGCACTTGTCAATTTTTGGGTTCATTTATTTGTCTTTAAATAAAAAAAAACAACCCACAATCCTTAATAGAAGTCAAGGTATTTGTGACTGAAGGAGTCCGGCATTTTGACGAGCGCCTGATTTCACAACGATGCCTTACAAATTATATATATTATTTTTTATATTATATATCGGCCTACCATTGTTAAATATGTATTTCATATTATTATATATGCCGTAATTTCATATGTATTTTATATATGTGTCACGACGCGGTGGAATCAGGCGCTCGTCAATGTCTGGACCTATGAAGTTATTGATATCATCTTAAAGCCTGTCGATTTGTCTTGCTTTTGATGGAAAAAATTATCCATTCATCTTTTGTACAAGTCAAGATATTGGCCAACGAAGGAGGTGGGGGTCGCCTGGTTTAAGACATAAAAATAGCCAGAAAATGGCCGCCAAAGTTGCGTTATCTCTTTAACTTGAGAGTCTGTGGACAATGAAAATTTACATCTTTTTTGCCTTTAATTAATTTTTTCAGTAAAATCCACACAGATAGGTGTTCTTCAATGGGCTTGAAAGGTGTTGAGCCAAAATAACAAAAAACCTTAAAAAATTCAAAAAATGCAGGAAAATGCCAGTTTCTTTACTTTCATTATTTTGACAAGTGCCTGATTTCACCACGCTGCCCCACATATGTATTTCATATTATAATATTTCGTATCATATTTTATACTAGACTATAGGCTATATATATTTTAAGTTACATGTGTGTATATGTGGCGTTGGTGTCCTAGTGGTTAGGCTACTGGACTCGTAATCGTGAGATAGCCGGTACGGGGGTTCGAGCCGCGGGACCGACATTGTATCCTTGGGAAAGGCACTTTACACGAATTTTCCTCACTTCACCCAGGTGAAAATGGGTACCCAGCTATAGACAGCGAAAGATCTTGTTAGTTTGTTAGTATTTGAGCGCTTAACCAGCTGCTTGAACAGTATGCTTCCCGGGAAGCTGAGAATGTTTCGTAGTGTTCTATGGTCTGCTGGGGTAATAATATAGTGTAAAGGGCATAGAGCTTGCTTTCGAGTGGGGACATGCGCTATACAAATGCTATTTATTATTATTATATATGACGCATGTACGTATGTGTATACACACGTTATTACATATGTATGAGTGTAGTACATGTATATACACGTACGTACATCATGTACATATGTATGTATACAGATGTGTACATTCATGTACTTCTGTGTGTACATACACGCATGTACGTACGTGCGTATATACATGTACGCACATTTTGTTTAAATACAAGTACATATGTATGTACATGGATATATACGTGTACTTATGTTTGTACATGTACATAATATGTACGTACATGCATATATACACGTATGTACCAATGAATGTACATATGTGTGTATATACATGTATATAGTATGTCTGTATGTGTGTGTATTTACATGTACGAATGTACATACATATGTGGGTGTATACAACTACGTACCATACATACATACATCGGTACATATGTGTATACACACACGTTCGAATGTGTACACACACACATACGTATACGTACATACACTCGTTTACATACTACATACATATGTATGTGTATATATACACACATTCATACATATGTGAATATACACACACACGCACGTAAGTATGCAGTTGCGAGGGCCGTAAAACCTTTACTAAAATTTTTTTAAAAGTATCCTATACATATATATATGTATGTGCGTATATACATGTACGTATGTACACATGTGTGTATACACACATACATATGTGGGTACATATACACGCATGTACATATACATATGTGTTTATATACTCGTAGGTATACATACGTATGTGCAAGTACGTACGTATGTAGTATGTTCGTGTAAATACAAGTACGTACTTGTGTATGTACATGCATACTTGTGTATGTACATGTATGAACACATACATACGTATGTATACAGGTATGTACTTATTTGTTTATATATACATGTACGTACCATACGTATATACAAACGTATGTATGTACATACACACTCACACACTTTCGTATATACGTACGCTCGTGTGTTTATACATAATGCATGTATGTATGTGTGTGTTTATACAGACATACGTGGGTATGCACAATCATGTATGTACAGACATAGGTACCGAATATGACATGTGTATACACACACACATATATATATATATATATATATATATATATACGTACGTTAGTACCCTATGCATATGTACACTTATTACATATGAATGTATAGGATACTTATGTACGTATGTGTGTATATATACACGTATGTACGTATGTACATGTATGTACAGTTGAACCTGTGTAAGACTAAATTTTTGCTCTACTCGAGCACTCTCACGAGAAGTCGTGAGATTTCACACCCACACTACACTGACCATTTACATCGCTCAGGGCTCACAGGATGGGGTAACATCTACCCCCAAATTGCACCCCTACTCCCCTTCCTCGCAAAGCGGCACGGCCATAGCACAAGGAGCTTAAAACGTTAAGTCGGCGGAACCAAACTTCCGAGTTTTGTTTCAAATCAGGGTTGAGCGGGCAAAGCATTTTCCGTTTTAGACAGGTGAAACGTTTCCGCGTTGGACGGGTTTCCGTTTTATACAGGTAATTAAAGAGGAATATATCAAGGGGGGAGCAGGGAGATTCCGTTAAGACAGGTTTCCGTTTTATACAGGTTTCCGTTAAGGCAGGTTCGACTGTATATACAAGTGTATGTACACGTACATGTGTAAGTACACACACATACATACATGTGTTTAGGCACGAATGTACGTGTATACACACATCCGTACATACATGTATATACATACAAACGTACACACATGTATATGCACACAAACCTAAATACCCAAAACATATGTGCGTATGAGTAAATATACACATACGTACGTACAGTACATACATAAATGTGCATACATACATGAATGTACATGTACATATGGGTGTACGCAAATACGTACTTGTGTATAGACACGTACATATGTACACATGTGTGTATACACAGCCAAGAACATACGTACGTACATATGAGAGTATACACACATGTATGTGTACGTTCGTATGTGTGCATGTACATACACATGCGTACATATGTGTGTATATAAACACATTCATACTTTACATACGTATGTGTGTGTGTATATTTATATATATATATATATACGTACGTACGTATGTGTGTGTATATACATGCACGTATGAGTGTATATAGATATATATATCATTTCTGTTTGGCTAAAATACAAGACATAACTCATTTAGTCTGCATGCCTGACAGAGTCGTGTGTAGGTGAAACATGGCAAAGTACAACAAACTTGGCACTACGGAAGAAGTTGTACAGAACAACAGAGGAACTGAGCAGGAAGGCTCGGTATGATGGAGCCATTGAGAAGAAGAAGAAGAAGAAGAAGTTAATTTTATGAAGTGTTTTACTCCACTTGCAACACAATATTGGTCATTAGAAGATCAAAGGTGTTGAGAGAGTAATGAGCACAAAAAAGGAGGAGAGACAAGATGTCTGAAAGGAAAGAAGGAGCAAACCACACCATAGCAGCAGCCAGTCACCCACAAGAAATAGAGGAAAGAAGAAGAAGACGACCAACCTGCAGGACATAATCCCCTGGCAGCAAGAGCTTGTAGTACTCCCCAAACCTCGACGACCAGAAAGGCACCGCCTCGCGGCCTTTGACGGTCACTGTGGCCCCCTCCACCAGGTTGTACTCACTCTCGCCGTCAGCTGGCTGGCCGTAGATGATGCCTCTCACTCCTGGGGATGGAGAGTTTGTTATGTTTCGTTTTGTTTTTGTCAGTGTTTTACAGCATTTGCAACATAGTTAGGTCGTATAAGTGCTAAGATTAGGTATTAAATGAGATTAAAAAATACAAAAAAGGAGGACTGATTTAAAAAAATTTTGTTTGTTTGTTTTAGTGTTTTACGGCACTTACAACACAGTTAGGTCATATAAGTGCCTGCGATTTGAAGTGTTCTAAGAGAGTAATACATATATAAAAAAGAAGGAAAAGAGATAAGGACCCATTTTTTGTTTCGTTTGTTTTGATTTTAATAAAAGTTTTATGGCACTTTCAACACAGTCAGGTCCACAGAATTCTGCACTTAGAAGTGTAGAATTCTGAGGTCAGGTCATATAAATACCAAAGATTTGAGGAGTTACAAAAGAGTAACAATAACAAACACAAAAGAGGAGGAGAAATAAGGACCCATTTTTTGTTGTTGTTTCTTTTGCTTTAGTAAGTGTTTTATGGCACTTGCAACACAGTGAGATCATAATATAATATAAGTGTCTGCGTTACAAGAGAGTAACAAAAATAGGAGAGACAGGATGATGATAGGAAAAACCAGCCAACCACCCATCGG